CAGGAGACTCGCTTGAGCCCAGGAGTTGGAGGTTGCTGTGAGCGTGATGCCATGGCACTCTACCCAGGGGGATAGCTTGAGGCTCTGTCTCAAAAAAATTAATTAATTAATTAATTAATTAAATATTCTTCTGTATAACCACAATACCATTATCACATCTAAGAAATTTTTTTGTTATGAGAAGCCTCATTCAGACATTGGATTATAGAGAAGTGGGATGGAAAAGAGTAAGAGTATAGTATAACAGTATTTCAGTTGTTTAATTATATCAAAAATTAAGAAATTTTAGTATTTGATGATGACACTAATTGGTATTTTTACTACTCTGTGCATAGTAAGATTTGTTTTGTGCTGGATATAGTGGCTTGTGACTGTAATCCCAGTACTTTGAGAGGCCAAAGAAGAAAGATTACATGAGGCCAAGAGTTCAAGACCAGCTTGAGCGAAATAGTAAGACTCTGTCTCTACAAAATGTAGACTAATGAGTTGTGGTGATGTGCACCTGTATTCCTAGCTACTCAGGAGGCTGAGGCAGGAGAATCACTTGAGCCCAGGACTTTGAGGTTGTAGTAAAGGATGGGTTTGTTGTGTCACAGCACTCTAGCCTGGGCAGCAGAGTTAGAGCCTGTCTCTAAAAAAAAAAAAAAAGAAATTATTTTGTCAAAACGGAAAAGTAAGTCCAAGTACAAGTCTCCGAGCACAATGTCTCATGCCTATAAACCCAGTCCTTTGGGAGGCTGAGGCAGGAGAACCCGTTGAGGCCAGAGTTTGAGACCAGCCTGGGCAACAGAGCAAGATCCCATCTCTAAAAAAAGGAGAAAAGATTAGTTGAGCATGGTGGCACATGCCCGTAATCCCTGGCACTCAGGAGGCTGAGGCAGGAATATCACTTGAGCCCAGAAATTTGAGGTTGGAGTGAGCTATGTTCCAGCCCAGTGTACTCCAGCCTGAGTGACAGAGTGAGACCCTGTCTCTTAAAAAAAGCAGAAGAAGGGGGCGGTGCCTGTGGCTCAAAAGGGTAGGGCGTGGGACCCTTATGCTGGAGGTGATGGGTTCAAACCCAGCCCCCGCCAAAAAAAAAGCAGAAGAGGAAAGGAGGAGGAGAAGGAAGAGGAAGAAGAAAAGTACAGGTTTTGGAATCAGATACCTGGATTCAAATTCTAGATCTGTTACTTATTACTTGTCTATCTTGAATAAATCATCAAAATTCTTTTTCTTTTCCTTCTTTTTTTTTTTTTTTGAGACAGAGCCTCAAGCTGTCCCCCTGAGTACAGTGCAGTGGCATCACAGCTCACAGCAACCTCCAATTCCTGGGCTTAAGTGAGTCTCCTGCCTCAGCCTCCCAAGTAGCTGGGACCACAGGCGCCCGCAAACTCTTGGGCTTAAGCAATTCTCTTGCTTCA